GAAAAAAAAAAAAAGCACAAAAATCGCCCCTTGTATCTGTGAATTATTTTTAAGGCATTGTGTGTTGGGTACATGCCAAAGTGGGAGGTGTTGTGTGTGCACCCTAAATGGAAGTAAGGTAGGATCTTCAGTTTGTTCATGTGGTGGAAGCTCATGGTTAAGAATTTCTTCTGTGTAAGGTTTACCATTTGACATCCAAATGTTCTGTTTCTAGAAATGTGACTAGACTGGCGATTTCTATAATTCTTGGTTTTAAACTGTCAACATGGAAATTGAAAGTGAACAAAATGAATTTTTTTTTACAAAACCAGACTTATAAGAGTCACAAGTGGCTCGTTTCTTCTGGGAGAGGTGGAAATGAGGCCTAGGAGTAATATTTGTTAAAATGGGGTCATGAGCTATGGAAGTGGGAAAGATGGGTGTCTTTACCCACAGAGCTCTGTGAAGGATGGAGGGAGCTGAGCCATTGTTCGGGAAAGTTGAAAGCACAGTCCTTGCTGGCTGGCCCAGCCATGCGCACTGATCTGTATGAGCAGGTCCAGTGGGAAGAGGGCTGCAACTAGGCTCCTTTACATTCCCCTCCAGGCCTGGCTACACTGAGGCACTTTCCTGGGGGTAGGGAGACTGGCCAGAAGTTCCAGCACATTTGCATTTTAAGCATTTCTAATGCCCAGGCTGGCCACTCAGCCACTGCTGAGGGTTCTTAAGCTGAATTCAGGGCAGATAAGATAAATGAATACCAACAATTCTAGCAAGGAGTTTCCTTTGGTAAGACAATAAACGGTCTGATATCCTGTAGCTGGGCTAGAGACCTGAGTGCTCTAACAGTGGAGTAATTCAGAGTCCTAGATTCACATAGGTGGACTTTCTAAGATCATTTTTTTTAAAGCCAAAACAACCCCTTCCCAGCCCCCATCTCTCAGCTTGCCTAGATCAACCCATCCTTCCTGGCAGAGGGCTAGAACCCCAGTTGCTGGTGGGATAAGTGGGTCTTGTCAGATTTTTAAGCTCTAAGCTTGTCACAAAAGCTGCATTGTTCCTTTCTAGAGTCACTAAAATTGGCCTGAATCAAGCTTGACACCAGATTGATCTTCCTTTTCTTTAGGGAAGGTGTGACTTTCTTTCCACTTAGGTTAGTGCTATTTATTGCTTAAAGGCAAAAAAAATGTGTGAACCCTCGGTGAGAAGTAGACACTCTGAATGAGGGCTTTCTAGAACTTTGACCCGGCTCCCAGGGTTCCACAGTTATAAGTTATAGCCTGTTTTTCTCCCGAGGAACTAGGACACCCAAATTCAGACAATAAAAAATTGAGCACTCCAAAGTCTGCTAACATTTATCCAATGCACAACAACCCTACCACCAGTCATGTGGAACATCTCTTCATTTTTTAAAAAAATAAAAGTTTGACCAAAGGTTGGTAAATTAACGTTTGAAGTTAAGATCATGGATCTAGTGTCATGACCTGAACTAGGCAAACAATATATGGAACCTGTCTGGAAAAGATGAACAAACTGTTGGCAGTGGCGGCCAAGTGCTGACCTCTTGCCCTTTTTGAATGGAAAGAAACTATTACATGTTGGGAACTTGTGGGCTTTGCACGGTACTCAGAAATTTTAATGCTTAAAGCAACCTCCTGAAACAGATCTCCCTGTTTTGCGGGTAAGGCATAACCTGCCTTAAATTGACCAACCAATGAGGGAGCCAGGATTTGAACTAGCCCTTCTCTCCCCAAAAGGATCTAGTTGCTGGCTGGACCTTGGTTTCCTATGACATGACCCTCACAGAAGTGAATGGGAGCTAGGTACACTCAGTGTGGACAAGCCTGTGCTGAAGGCGCTGCTGCAAAGAGAAGGATGGATTCAGGGTATGGGAAGGATTGACCCTCACCTACATGGTAGAAGAGATTCTTTTAGGGCCGGGGGTAGCTCTGATAAAGCACTTGTTGACATGGACAAGGCTCTCTGTTGATCCCAAGCACTGCATAAAGCAATAGGAACAAAGAAAGTGAATTGCTGTATGTTTTGTGGGTTGCATAAAAGCTCAAGTACTTTGGGTCAATCTTTAGAAAATAGAAAAAGCTATGGTATAAGTATTTGCTGAAATTTACAGGGGTGGCTCACGCCCATAATCCCAGTATGCAGAGGCTACAGCAAGAGAGCATGGCTGTAAACTCAAGGCCAGTCTGGGTTACATGCTTACTACATAGTAAGACCCTGACTCACAAAACACCCCAAAAAGCACTGGGGGTAGGGGAGTGATATAGGTGTAAAGCTTGAGTCCTACAATGTTCTGCTGCCACAGAAACAGAGTAGCCAAGAAAGGGTTTCCTGGCTTCTTAGGTATCTCATCCCTATTCATACCTAAATTCAGCCGGGGTTCCGACAACCACAGCAGGCCTCTAGCTGTGCTAGGGGAAGCCCACCTAGTCTGCATTTGGCAGTGGCAAGGATGCCTCTCTTACATTTACTAAAATTGAAAGCTGGTGCCAGGACATATTTAAAGAGAAAACAAACTGATCAGAGTTTTGTTTTTGTTTTTGATTTTTTAAATCAAATTTAGAATAAACATCTGAAAAAGCAAGTGTTCTTTTTCGGGGACTTTTTTCTATTTTGGTGGTTTTGAGAAAGGGTTTCCCTATAGCCCCAGCTGGCCTAGAACTCGCTATGTAGACCAGGTTGGCCTCAAACTCACAGAGGTCCACCTGCCTCTGCCTCCCGAGTGCTGGGACTAAAGGCATGCACCTCCACACCCAGGCTTGTAAAAGGTAAGGAAGAACATGTCGGGGCTTGGGATGTACCCCAGTTGGCAGAGTGTTTGCCTAGCACACACAAAGCCTTGCATGTAGGCTTCATTCCCCAGTACCACATAAACTGAGTGTGGTAGTACATGCCTCTAATCCCAGCACTCAAGAGTTCAAGTTGATCCTTAGCTACATAGTAAGTTGGAAGCCAGCCTGGGCTATTCAAGCACCTGTCTCAAAAAAGATATTTTATATATATGTATATATATAATAAAAAGGGCTTCCCTCAGTCCATGGTGGTGACAAGTGCTGAGCTTGGTATAGAAGTTAAATCCCTCATGGAGAGATTCTGAACTCTGGTATTTTGTTTTCTGAGGCAAGGTCTCACAATGTAACCCTGGCTGGCTTGGAACTAGCCTTGAACTTGCAGTCACCCTCCCTAAGTGGTGAGATTCCATATGTGAACCAAGTCCAGATTTGAACTCGGGTTTCCAAAGGCAGAGGAGAAAGGGTGGGGTAGCCCCCAGGGATCACTGTTTCCAAAGAACAAGAATCTTTTGACTGATAAGATGTGTGAAATGGACTCCTCACCTGTTCTGCCAGACAGAGGGAGGAACTAGGGTATATCTGAGTGGGGGAGTGTCCCCTCTTCATTGCATCAAACACAACCCTTTAAAAAGTCAACTCTATCCCTTTAGTAGAGGGAAGGACCTGAATTGTGTGCATTATGATCCCCTGAGGAGAAGGGTAAGGATTTTGATGAACTAATGGGGAAAATGAGGCAATCCCAGCATTAGAAATGAGAAACTTACGTATGTTCAAACCCGAGTTCACACTTGGGTCACATAGCTTGTCCAACATTAAGTAGTAATTTTTTTTTAAAAAGAAGAGTAAATTTCATAGAGTAGATGAGAAATCTGTATTTCAGTCAGTGGCAACTGTTTGTAATTTTAGGCTTGGGA